ATTTTAATAACCAGCATTTCAAAATTGAGACGCTCCTCTCAGAGCCCTCTTAGCCCAGGGCAGACTATTAAAATATTTACCTGGTTCTTGTAGACATCTGAGTTTGACTCCTGTATTGGTATCACTTGAGACCCATGGATTACTGTGGTAATAAAGTTGTGCTTTTGGCATTGTTAGAGCTGCTATGTTATCAATATGTGACTAATTTATATTCTAATTGGTTTCCACTCTGAAAATGGCCCTAAACAAACATTATATATAGTTTAATCATAGTCTAAAAATTGTTTTTCAAGAGAATCTCATATTATTTTCACTACTGTAAAAGCTACTGGCCTCTGCTCCTGCAGTAGGCATTATTTGATTATTTCTGGTTGAACATTTCCAAGTTAGCTATTTCATCTTGGGTAATTAAGTGGAGAAACAAATTCCTTAAAATGAACCAGAAACACACCAACTTTATCCCCAAAGAACCCTGAAAAAATATGAGGGGTTCACACTTTTTCCTGTTTCTAAACGAGCCAAGGTCTCCCCCTAATTCTCACTACTTATTTTCTGAAAAGTTTCACAGGTTCCACAGGAGAAATGCTGAGAAACAGATGGAAATATGCTTTTCTGTGCATTTTCAGTTATAAAACAAATTCTCCTACAAGTTCCAATGGACAATGCAAAAATTTTCACACTGGAAATTCATTTAACAAATAAGTAGACCTACAACTACAAATTACTTGGCCACTGTTTATCAAATCAAATGATGCTGAACTCTCTACTCTCAACTACCATGTGTAATAGTCTTCTCATGATGCCAGTCCCAGTCACCAAGATGGGAAGGGTTATTCTTCTATCCATGGCTGATTTTTATGATGAGGAAAAACAGAGAGCCACATTAGTTGCAAATCCTGCAAGAGCAAATTAAAGATCAGATGTAGCATATAGCCTTCCTCTAACAGGAACAGTAACAGGTATTTACACAGTCTTTGATAGGTTCAAAAGTACATTACAGATTAGATAAGAACCACCTCTCCGGATCAAATGCTACGTCATTCTGAAACCAGATTAACAAAATATGATACAAAGAGGTAGCATGATGCTGCTCAGAAAGAATAAAGCTTAAGTTTGAGATAGGAGAAATTGTGAAATCTTGGACAAGTTGCTTAATCTTGTTGAGTAATATTACCTTTCTTTTAGACAATGATACAAGTTAAAGTGTTCTTAAGATATAAGTGATAAAGGAACTCTGATAATTGTAAATCCAAATAAGACCAAATTAAACTGTCCTAAAATCTGGCCTTGAATATTAATGACAAAGATCTCAACTTTGGGACCTTCTTTAAGACAACTCTCCCCTCATTCTGGCAGGAGATATCAGCTTCTAAAAGTGAACCAAGTGGAAGTAATGTGAAGGAGTTTCAAGTCTGAGAATGACTTTTAAATATTTTATCTCTATAAATTGACAAAGATCTACTGAGCATCTAGCATCACTGTTATAAAATGAATAGCAATCTAAGTTCAATGTTCAAGACACAGAACTTGGAAAGCTTCCAGAAAATGCTCTGAAGGCTTCATTAACCAAGTTTATTGTTGGGGAGAGTCTCATTCACAGTTCCCTGCAAAGAAACGAAACCAAATCTTGACATTTTATGTTAAGTAGGAACAGTGAATAAGGCACATAATATAGGTGACTCTTAGGCCACCAATGTCTTTTTCTTAATATAAAAATAAACATAAGTAACTAATGAAATAACAAAATAAAAGTTTATTTTATTAGAATTAGGAATGTTCTTTCCCTCTGGGCAACCTGAACAGTCCAGTTACAATGAAAATCTAAGAACAGTTATTTCCACAGCACAGTGTGCTCTATGCACAAAATTACAGGGTTAGGAGCATTTAATCAATTAACCGATCTGATTGTCTCACCAACCCCCCCTCCCCATCCCCCAAGTGCTCTATACCGGGATTTTTGTACATCAAGTCCTTTTCTCTCTTACGCTAAATTTCAGTTCCTAATCATGGCTGATCCATCCGCATTTTACACTGCAGATTCAACCATTTCAAATCAAGTCAGTCAGTCTTGGATCTGCTATATTTGTGTATATGTATACACATGTGTATTTAATGTATTTATTTAAACACACATAAAACACATACAATCTGGGTTGCAGCGGATTACATAGAATTTAGAGTCTGATGATATATGCCACTCAATTTTACCACTGTGGTTTGTAGTCCTGCGCTTTGGATCAACAATTTTATTGTAAATTATTTAAGTCCATCTACTGCTCAATGAATTGTTCAAATGATGCATGCAGTTTTCAGAAGACCTCAAGAAGACAAGGGAGACCCTGGTGCTGACCATGAATAGAGCCCTCTGACAGAAAGACTTAGGTATGTGAAACAGGGAAGCCGTCATATCATATGGCTTAAGACCTATCCCAGCTGACACCACTGAAGTTATTGACAATGAAAGTGATTAACTGATGGGAGTTCTGTCAGATATGGAGATAGTTGTTAAAAGTTTGAACTGGAAAAGGCCAATTCATCTTGATCCATACATATAAGGGAATGCACCCACAACTGCAATACCCTCAGGTAAATATGCCAACACTGCAACTAGAAAACAGCTCTAAAAAGCACTGTTCTTCCATGGGTGGGGACTGTCATTATGAAGTGCACACTGTTTCTGGATACCTCTTGTAAGGGGAGCGTGTAAAAAGGATTTATGACACTCAAATCTAAATACTGTAGTTAACCATGTAAGATATTTCTTAAAACACCACATATACACAAAACATTTTAAAGGGACCACATATATCTAGATAGCAACTCTGGCTGCTTTTCAAAGTTACCAGGGAAAGGAACTTATTCAAGCTTTCTTAAAAAAAAAAAAAATCCTTAGTTTTGATAAATGCCTTTTAAGATTGATGCAGTCGTTTAAAATAAAATCAAATGGTTGACAGGGAAAGGGAAGGAGAAGAGAATAAGGAAGAAGCAGACACTGAGTTCAGATTTGCACCTGAGGTGGCAAGGGAGGGGAGGATAAAAGGTATAGGTAAAGTTGATCCTAGAGCGACAAGTGGTTTAAGGAAGCAGCATAATATACTCAGCAAACATTCACTGATTTCTGATGGGAAAAGAACAGTTGCAAGGACATCTCATGTAACAACCTTTTCTAAAAGGAAAAGTAGGGTTGATTTAGCAAAGCCTAACTTAGGCAAAAGGCCAGAGGAAAGTGAACCTACTTCCCAATGGAGTAGTAAGATGTATGGTGCAAGAGCAGACAAAGCTGCCTCACAAAAGGTAAACACTCCCTAGGCGCAAGACATTTAAAGGAAGACAAAGAGGTCCTTCAGCCAGAAGTGGTATTTAGTATTAAGACCTCATCTAGTTGCCTAGTTCACTCTGTACTCCTGTATAAAACTGACAGATTTAGGGATGAAAAATACCACAGCCAGAATGGCCTAAATAGATACATAGTTAATAAAACCACCACCATCCTTTACTTTTAACATAGCTCTTAGTAGAAATTTCATAAAAATGGACATCACAGCTAAAACGCCTTATTAATTCTCCTATCTGTTGACAAATAGAAAAGAAGCAAACAGTGACTTCTATTTAAATGCACTAGATGGGAATATCAAGTTCTAGGATGTTTGCCTTCAAACTGAACCCACAGCAACACACACAAGCAATTTCAGTATCTGCCATTTTTAATTCACAATCTGAATCTAAGTGAATGGCTATTTATTTATATTTATATTTAAAGCAAAAATGTCCTATTTGACACCCTAACATAAAGAAGGGGTGAGAGAAGAGCCATAACGAAAAATCTTAAAAGGCTCAAAGCAGCAATTAAAGGGACAAATTTTTGAAATGTTTCCTCTGGATGTGACAGGAAGCCTAGGCAGCCTTCAGCTGTGTGTCTGACACGGGCACACAAAGGCTTCCGTAGATGTACGAGGCTGCGGAGAGGGATGAGGTTGGAGACTGGGTCACTCTTCAGTGGCAGCAGCAAAGCTCCCTGCTGCAGCCCTTACCAGGCCACGGCATTTAGTCAGAGCCTGACCCCTCTGTGCTCGACCTGGGGCTGGCAATTCCGGGCATGAGACCCAGGGCCAGCGACAAATACATCAAAGCCAGAAAGGGCAAAGTAATTTCAGGAAAGGGAAATCAAAGAACTCGAGTTAGGTCTTCCAGAGGTGCTAAACCAACACACCTTTTATCCCAACCCTCAACCCTGGAAAGATAAAGCAAACTGAAAGAAAATGCACAGCAAATAGACATAATCTTGAAGATTTTTAAAGAATAAATATTTTTTGTAATTAAACATTATGCAAACACGTGCCACGCTTGCTTTGTCCATGCATATGCACTATATACAATTTTGAAAAATACTGTGTTGTCCTCTTGTTTTAAAAGTCATATACAAAGTTTTTTTTGTTTTTTTGTTTAATTCCTCTTTCTGCCTACCCTCTTCCCGCCCCAAGAATTTTCTTTACAAGGAACTAATCATTATTCACTCATGACCTTGGGGTATGAGAGAGAGACAGTCTGTGTGTGTGGGTGTATCTGTATGTGTAGGGGAGAAACGGGAGAGGTCCTTTACCAAAGTACAACAAAATGGCTGGTTTGGACATGAAAAGCAGTGTCAAGGAGCTGTTTTAAATTTTAACTGTACTACACTCAGGAAAAAGAAAATGAAAAAAAAGGAGTCAGCTTTGAGAATGAAGCTACGTTACAAGTTAAAGTTGGAGGGCTTTTAGTGTGTCTGTCACACTTGTGTTGGCGGCCTAGAATACTGTTGTACAATGGTTTATCTACCTTTTTTTTTTATTACAATATAATTTACTTAAACTTTCCGTTAACAAAACAGAATTCTGGTTCTACAGACCAGCAGTGTCAGAACAGGCTTAGTGCCTCCTTGTTTGTGTTTGTTTTGTTTGTTTTAATTGCATGAGCACTCTAGATGGTAAAGTTTTCAGAGTTCATTTTATGCAGGGCCATTCTCAGTCCTCAATGTACTCCCACAGATCTTTTTCATAGCCTTCATGCACATGCTGTAACAAAACCCTTCGTCGACTCTCACAGTATCTGTAATCAAAGAGAAAAAAAAAAACAAACAAACCTGTTGTCAGCCTCCAATAATTTTTTTTTTTTACAAGAGGCATTTACTTGTTTTGTAGGGCTCCCTATAGTTTATTCAGACATAGAACCAAGCACCTGTTTTTAAAAGGCATATTTTTAGGTCTAGATGTAAAGACATGACAATTTCTAATTTTCAAAAGGTATTTTTCGGAGTTTCTAGTTTGGGGAAATTAATTCCAGAGCAATAAAAAGGGCTTAGAAATTATCTGATTCAATCTTATCATTCTACAGGTAAGTAAACAGTTTTAGGAAGAAGTAATTTCAGGGGGTATTTATTCACAACTGTAAAATCTTAAAGTACTAGTGGTAGCTATTAATTGGCTAAGGGAAGTGAAAATATTACTCAGGACTAAATTTTCAAGTCTTGCAAATTCCCAGAGGTTTCTACTACTATTAAAGAGAAAACAACATTTGCCAGAAAATAACTTTTGGAGAAAGAGCTCTATGTGAGAAAGCAAACATTTTGCATCTTTTACTTAAGAGGTGACATCTCTTATAGTATCATCTATCCCTAGGACAAAGTAAATCTCTCCTTGGAAAATCCAATCTTAGAAAAAAATCTTTAAAAAAGTCTGGGTAGCTCACTTGCCAAGAGCCACGATCCACAGGATCCCTAGGCCAGGGCCAACATCTTATTCTCACCCCTCATCCTAATAGTCACTTGCCCTTTTTGGGCTCCTTCTTCCTGTCAGGGCAATAACTACATAGATAAAGCCACATGCAAGAAGCAGGGTCAGCCAGTGGGACAAATGGCTGATTTCCTCCCTATGCCCAAAGGACAGAAGCAATCTGTGAGAGACATGGCAGCAGGTCAGTCACTGAATATGCTAAACAAGTCTCACCATCATCTAACTTCACCACTATGGCATACCAGACCACCAGTGGCAGACATCTTTGCTCAACAACTAAAAATAAACTTACCTGTACTTATCTTGTACTTTCTGCTTTATATCCTGCAGAGAGTCTTGGGAAATATCTCGTTCGAGGTAACCCGAGAGCACCTCTGTGGCATTCTCTAGATCTGCTTGGTTATTCTGCAAGAGGAAGAAGAACACACAGTAAATTCTGCCTTCAAAAGAAAGCTCAGAGATAAGCCATTTTAGCTGCTTCCTTGATAAGACTGCACTCAACACCAATTTTCACAGGTAGTCAACTGCACCTCTAAAGTCCTTCATTACTTCCACCTCTAACAATTTGTTTTCTCTTTTTTTCTCTCAGAAGAGCTTTTTAACTATAAAAAGATTTATCCATTACCTCTGGAAGAATACCAAGTACAATTTGAAAGAACTTTAAGAAAACGTTCTTGGAAATCTTCTAGCTCTGAAAACTATTATGCTAAAGCCTAAGGAACAAACAGAAACACATTATTCTTTCTATCTAGCTAGATACCTAATCTTATCAGAAAACACTGTATGGAAGATTAAAATTTTGTTATCTGTTACTAGTATAGCTAGTTCTGTACATTTACCCATCTAAATTCCGATCTGCTAGTCATTGTTACTGTCTAGCCATCTATCCACATCAATACTGCATGCATGAATTTTAAATGAGCATCTCTACTTGAAAAAACTTTACTGCTGAAAGCCCCCTTTTAGTCACTACTTCTCCACAAAAGACAAACACCATATTTACTTCTAATACTGTGTTCTTTGTTTTACCTGAATAGACTTTTGAAAGAACTTACGATGTGCCTGGTGTTACATAAGTATTATACATGGATTGTCTCACTTAAACATCTTAACATTTCTAGAAAAGTATAATCCCCATTCTAAAACAGAGATATAGAAGAGGTTAATTAATTTGCTTCAAGTCAACAGAGCTAAAAAGTGATGAAATCAAGATTCAAATTAAAGACTACTTCCAGAGCCTGCACACTTAATCACTAGCTGGCTAAACCACACCAATTTGAATGTAGTTTACAGCAAGATATCTGAATTTTTTGTACCTTCCTAATAAACACTAAACTTTTGATCCACATTGGGAGCAATGAGTAATCTTTAAAACTCTTATCTATAAAAGATAAGTAGTCCTATGACACACAGGTGGTTTTTTTTACCCACTCAGTAACTATTCCTACCTCAAAGATAATGGACTGGTTATTCTTTTTGAGGTAGAAAGCGAAGACATAAGTGTACATGAGTGTGGCACGACACTGGCAGAGGACATCGACTGCTTTCTTCAGGAACTGCACCTCAATCCAGGACATGTTGTGCTGCTGCATCTCTTCCATTTTCTGCTTCACCTGAGCATATAGTTTGTGCTCAAAGCGGAGACTCTGCATGTGGTTCATATAGCGATTACAGTAGAACAGGTACCTCTGCAGGGCTGCCCTAGATCTCTGTCCCATTAAGAAAAATTAAGGTCACATAGTTATAACAAATTTATTATAGGCACACAAAACCTGATATCATATTTACTGATGAAACGGAATAGGAATTTAGGCTAAAATCAAGAACAAAGAGACATCTATTGCTACCTCTGTTACTTAATATTTTTTGAAAGTCCTATAGCTGTACTTTCCAATATAGCAGCCAGCAGTCACATATGGCTATTAAAATTAAAAATTCAGTTTCTTACTGCTGCAGTCCATGTCTACCAAATCAGACAGTGGTATTAAGAACATTTCCATCATTATGAATATTCTACTGGATAGCTCTGTTCTGCAGTGTGCAATAAGGTACATCAATATTTTAAAGTAAAAAACAAAAGAGAAGCAACCAGATATCATATAACATCTAATATAATGCAACAGAAACTACACAGTACATTTAACACCAGTTAAGTGTTCTGTGTTCTTTCCACATCCCTCACCAAATCATCTGAATTCAAGTACCTAGAATTAACCACCAGTTTCAGCAAGTTTAGGGATAGAAGAACCTATTAAATAAAACCAGGGAGTTACACTTGGGAAATCCAGAATACAAAAATGCTACAGCACAAAAATGACTTAAGTTTCCTCAACAAATAAATGGCAAAGAAGAAGGAAGAAGGAAAAAAAAGCCCCAAAACATGAAAGGACCTACAGATTATAACATCACATCCAACTTGTGGAACCTATATGAATCCTCATTTGAACCAATTATAAAAAAGTTTATGAGATAAAATGGGGACACTGGAACACTGGAACACATATTAACAAAATACTGCTTCAAAAATATATAATAAATATACAGCATAATTATAAAATAACATAAATATACAAATATAAACACTACTACAGTTTTATGAGAAGTCTTTTGAAGTACATGAAGTATTAAAAAATATGATGAAGTATTTAAAAATATGGTATCAGGTCTACATTTGTTTTATATTGTTTATCATACTGCAAAAATAATTCACATGGGTCTCTCTTATTATACTGTAAATGTTAAGGAGATACACTTTTAAAAAAGTAATCCTGGGACTTGTCCAGTGGTCCAGTGGTTAAGACTTTGAGCTCCCACTGCAGGGGAGAATGGGTTTGATCCCTGGTCAGGAAACTGATTCCACAGTTTAGTTCAGTTGCTCAGTCGTGTATGACTCTTTCCGACCCCATGGACTGCAGCATGCCAGGCTTCACTGAAACTCCAATACTTTGGCCACCTGATGCGAAGAAGTGACTCACTGGAAAAGACCCTGATGCTGGGAAAGATTGAAGGCAGGAGGAGAAGGGGACGACAGAGGATGAAATGGTTGGATGGCATCACCAACTCGATGGACGTGAGTTTGAGCAAGATTCCACAAGCAGCCAAAAATATCATTTTCTTCATATTAAGAACTAGACATAACAATATTTAAAAAAAAGCAATCTTGTTATAACTCTAGTACTTAATATCTAAAAAATGATTGTTGAAAGTAACTACTATAGAAGGGTTCTTACCACACACATGTGTTTCTTTTCTTTAACCATCATCTCCTCTTCCTTTCCTCATGCCTAAGGCCTACAAGCAGTACAGATACTACAAGGCCCTATGCTTGGTCTCTTGCTCAGAAACACTAACTCTGAACCACATAAGTAGCCAATCACATGATCCAGTATCTTACAACACGGAAACACCTAAAAAAACCTACACAAGTCATATTATTTTAGCAGTCAGGTAGGTATTAAATCAATGCTTATACAGTGGAAAATTATGCCAATCATATCTAAAAATACTATGACAATTACATCTATTCATTATTAGACAAAAATAATAGTATTGCTATTAGATATGATTATACATAATAAAATTATGCCAATTATTTCTAAAAATAGAATATGTAAAGAATAATCTACTTGGCATTTTACCTCCATACAAAGCACTAATATTTTCAAGCCTGTCAAATTCCCAAGATGAAATGGAAAACCTAAATCATGCATTAAAATGTCTGTTGTAGGTCTTAATATGACTAAGAATTCTCAAACAGCTTGCATCATTAAATTAATTTAAAAATTCAATATGGAAAAAAAAACAACACCCATACTACCACTGCAAATAATACCCATTTTTAAATCAAATGCCAGAATGTGGATTGAGAAATGCAATGTCCCGAAAGCGCTTTGGAAAAACACACAAAACAATAACCTGATTGCTTAGAAAACGGGTAGGCAATCCAGCTGCTGCCTATTTTTGTTTTCAAAGTTAACTTGAAACACTACCATGTCCACTCCCTAAGTCTATGGCTGAGTCAGCAAGCATTACAGGAGAAGGACGGAACTGAGTAACTCTAACAGACTGTATAGTCTGCTAAGCTGAAAATATTTACTACCTTACCACTCACAGAAGTATATTGACTCCGGGTTACTGGATAAGAAAATTTAGGGAATTCCCTGGCAATCCGGTGGTTAGGACTGTGCTCTGACAGCCAGGGACCCAGGTTCAATCCCCAGTTGGAAAACTAACATGCCACAAAGCCACACAGTGTGGTCACAGAAAAGAAAAAAGAAAAAGTACCATCTGTGTTCTTTCTGTACTGTGTGCCAACCTTCTAGCACTTTTTTAAGAACTACAACCGCCTAAAAATGGAAAACAAACAAACTACAACTGCTGAGAAGCAGGCAAAAGAGGGTGAGATGGTTGCATAGTACCACCAACTCAACAGACATGAGTCTGAGCAAACACAGGGAATGGAATAGTGAAGGACAGGGAAGCCTTGCGCACTGCAGTCCATGGGGTCACAAAAAGTTGGACACAACTTAGCAACAATATAACATAAATAGAATCATGTGACAGAGATCACAGAATGCTATCTGTTGACACTGGCTTTTTCACTCAGCATGGTGCCCGTGACATCTAAATCGCTATGTGGATCAACAGTTCATTTACTGTTATAACTGAATAATATTTCGCAGTATGGATTACCATGGTTTGTTTAATCATTCACCAATTAAGGAAAATTTTAGATGTTTCCAGTTTGGGACTATAACAAATAAAGCTGCTATGACCCACTGTTTAAAAAAAAAGAACTACAACTGCCAGAAAACACTACGCCAGAATATGGAAGTAGAGGAAGTGAGGAAGGAATAAGCTAGGTGTGTGCTCCATTCTGGGAGGTATGGTTCCTACTAAATAAACAAACACAGTCAACTCATATAAACCCCTTTCCCTGCGCACTCGCAAGGTCACAAGATCCTAGTTTAGGCCAATATATACGTGACCTAGAAAAATTGTGCAATCTAACATCTACAATCTACACATTAAAAGGGCTGAGAAGCTATGTCCAATAATCCACTCTCCCTGCAGATCTCAAAAAGCAATTCTACCAGCACCCAAACACTTACCAGGTCAAGGATAACCCATATACTTTCCAGTGTCAGCAAATTCTGGCTAGATCAAGCTAGTACTAAAGAACCTGCCTGCCAATACAGGAGACGTAAGAGACCCAAGTTCGATCTATGGGTCCGGAAGGTCCCCTGGAGAAGGAATTGGCAACCCACTCCAGTATTCTTGTTTGGAGAACCCCATGAACAGAGGAGCCTGGCAGGCTACAGTCCATGGATTGGGCAAAGAGTTGGACACGACTGAAGCAACTTAGCACACAAAAACTAAAAGCCCACCCTGGTAATTAGGAAAAATATAATGCTATACATAAGAGAAAAACAGCATTTCTTTATGGATTGAAAAAAATATTATCAAAATTAGAAGAAAACTTTAGGACAAAAGCAGAAACCAGAAGGGGGGAAAAAGCTAAGATTTAAAAACAAACAAACCTGAAACAGAAGGATATGCAATGACAAACTGGGCTGAATAAAAATGGAAGAGAGGAATCAATTCAAAACAGAGGGTGGGAAAGGCATCATTCTCATGGTAGAGTTCTTTATACAAAGGTTACATGGAACAATGTTTCTCAAATTATAGCCTAAGGGTACTAGAGGGAACTGGAGTAGGAGTGCCAAATGATCTCATTTAAACAGACCATGGAAATTTTTAAATATTAAAAATCTGATAATAACCTGAAGAAAACACACTCTGGACCACCTGAATAAACTTATCAGAATCAATGCTTTTAGGTCTTACATTTTTAAAATGGCCTAAAATTGGTATCAAGCCGTATTACTTTAACTGCACCAGAGTTGAGAATAAGTGACAGGAAATACATTAATAATAAATTCTGATCAAATCAAATTTTGATGCACTGTAGGGGTGAAAAGGCAATGGTTGATATATAGAAAACTGATGAGAGAACAAATGATCACGTGGTACTTATAGTAGTATAGTAGTACTAAATAAAAAAATTCTGGGTCTTAGCTATCAACAGTAATTTAATTTCAACAAATAACTTATCTAATTAGTTTTTACTTGAGTTTCACTGGTTGTGGGTTTCTTTGTTTGGTTGTATAGCTACTTAAAATAGTCCAGCTGGTTTTACTTTAAACACAGTTAATATAGTAATATTATAATGAATATAATGTAAACCAACATTGTTATCTGTGGTTTTTTTTCCCCCCTTTAAAGGATCACAAATACTGTAAACATCTGTAATACGATAGCCTAGGTTCTGTAAATATATTCTTTTGTATTTACAGTAATTTAAAGAAATTTTAAAGGAGCCTTTGAAAAGTGAAATAATAACAAACAGGTTGTGTTCTGGCTTGCATCTTGGCAAGACAAGTCATTTTAAAAGATTTTGGGAGGAGAAATGGGGAATTTCAATACAGAATGTATGAATGTAAGGTATGACTAAATTCTAGAATTCTACTATTAAGGCAGAATTACCAGGCTGAAAGGAATTCAAAGTGTTACTGAATCTAATCCACACCAAGGGTTTGAATCCCCTCTTCTATAAAAGTGGGTTATTTCCTTATTCAGTAATAGGGAAATCCCTACCTCCTGAGACAGTTCATTCCAAGTTACCTAAAATCATTAGAACTTCTTGATGAACAATGAAGTCATTAATTAATTAATTAAAAAGAAGTGAGGCTGCACATAAATAGCAGCAGTGCCATTTAACAAATACTGTTCTTTAGACTCTTTGCTGGGAAGGGAAAATCTTGCTCCTGAAGACTACTGAAACCTGGAAGTATGCTATATGACTAGATTGATTTTTTTTTTAAATGCAAACACATCTATAAATAGGAATACTCCTAATATGTATTTTGCATAAGATTCCCTTTCTACATGTACACAGATATGCAGTATTTATTGGAGTATCCTTTAACAAATCTTTCAGAATTGAACTCTTTTGCTAAATTATTCCCTAATCATCATATAATGCACATTCCTGTTCAACCGCTACCTGAAAATAAATGTACTTACCTCCTGTGCGTCTCTTGCTGCCTTTGCATCATCCTCATTATAGCGGTTACAGTTGTACCTGAAGTAAGTAAGAGGATTCCATAAAGCCATAAATCAATGAAAAGGGAACAAATCACAGAATTTTAGCCTGGATTTAGCGATTATGTAGAGCTGATATTCTCCTTTACAAAGATAAAATGAGGTGGGGAGAAAAAAAAGCCCATAGGTGTTTGAATCCTTTCCAAAAGAGTGTGTCTCTTCTCTGTTAGTAATAAGCAATTTCCCACCCCCCTGAGGTAGTCCACTCAAATAAGTTTACTGATAATCATTGGAAAACATTGTTATTCTTCCATTTACCAACTGTAGCTTGAACTTCTAATTCATTTTTTGAAGAAAGAGACTATCTCATCTCCTACACTGTTATTTAGCCAAATATTTTCAATCTTTCCAGGATTACTCACCTTGTTACCCTCACCTGTATACACCAAAGAGAACCAACTGCTGACAGAGTGTTGTGTAACAAGTGCTGTGCTATGTGCTTTATATGCTCTTAACAGTTTATGAGAATCCCCAAAAACTCAACATACAAAATGAGGAGCAAGGGGAAATCTGCCCAGAGAAGTCAGCTCAGAGTAGAGATGTGTAGGACGGGCACTTCTCCTTCTTCTGATTACCCATTTTATTTTATGGGAGCCTACATTATGAGTACAACTGACATATACTATATTCTATCCACTTACTAAAGACTTTAACTGTACTATCACATTTAATCCCCTCAATTACCTTATGAAATATGTATCATTATCCTCACTGAGCAGATGAAGAATCCAATTTTGAGAAGATAAGCAAGATATTTAAGATCACAAAAGAAGAGTTTCAGAGGTAGAAATTAATCTGATGCCCTTCTGCCAATTGAGACCCATGCTCTTAACTAGTGGATTCATATCTTCAGAATCTTTTTAACGATGACCTTTCTAGAAGAATTTTGAATTTAATATAAATCTTGTTAAACTGAATTTATTATTCCAGCTTGTCAAATCCTTTAATATTACAATGGTTTATATATTCAATATCCCTCTTTGATATAACCCCAAAAATGTATATAAAATTTTTATATTAATTCAAGAAAATCATCAATACAACTGAACAGAAAAGCAGTATATAGTTTACGTGAATAAAAAAGATGTGGACAAAGCCTTTCAGCAAACCTTAAAGCATTCCACTAGGAAGACACAAATCTATTACCTCACTGATTTGCAACTCGAAGTTTTTAAAGTAACCCAGACCACAATTCACCTGAGTCAAGAGACATTAAATTGTCCCCCACCTTGATTAATAATCCTCTCTTACCAATAATTATTCTACTCACAAATAAGCCTGAAGATGCCTCTCCTCTCTATCTACTGGCCAACAATTAACACATTTTCTTTCTAACTGATATATCCTCAAAAACTTTCCTTTTGATATTTGTTAGATATTTTTAAGCCTCAACTCACTCTGGGCTTTACTCTGCCAACATTAAGAATTTTGAGGTCAAGAAAGCAAGGAGGGCTCATCTATATTTCCAACCGAGATGACTGATAGTGCTATTTGGAATGTTACTTTGAAGATTCTGAGATATTTTCTGATTTAAACAAGAAAGCACAGCAAGGATTCATTCACAATGTTAGCCATGGGAAAAGGCAAGACACAGGCAACATTTTCGACACCCCCTGTCCGGGTCACTTTTCATGCTTCTGCAGTCGCCATTTGTTTTGTATCCCCTTTCATTTTTCAACCCAGTTCATTTACAATTTGAGTTGTGATCAGAGATTTCTTATATACACACAAAAGTCTCTTTAATACTTCTCCCCCATTCCCTCTCTTCACTAAACTTATTTATATACACTCAAATTAATTTAGTTTCCGGGAACATGCTAATCCTTCAGCTTGCATTCCTAAACCCCAAATATCTTTCCTTGGCTCTAACAGTAGTAAAATCACTTTCTTTTTTTCACCTAACCAATTAGTTTTTACCTAGTTTAGAATCAATTTCAGACAATCCCTCTTACTATTCCTCTAATTAATGAAATGAAAGAACACTCCAAAAGTAACTAAAAGGGAAGGCTTGCCATTGTCTTAAGTTCAGATTCTCCTCATCTTGTCTTGAGCTTGCAATTCTACCCCCAACTCTCTACACAGCAACCACAATGTCCAGATAAGGTATGGAAAGCACCTAATACAGAGCACTCTCACCTAAACTACAGATCTAATGTTGTTACTATTAGTTAAAATACTTCTGGTAATTGTCCAAACTACTTCAGGTCCCAGTCTACTTTCTCTTTTCCTGTTCCCCACAATTTATGAGGGGCCACAAACTCAAATACCAACAGGAGACAAATGCAAATAACATAAACTAGTGAAAAGGGCAATCTGCACATTATAACTCCCAGAAATATTTTCACATTTACCAGGAGATGCGCTAGCTCTCATTTTTGTTTTGAGAAAAATGCAACAAGACATCCTCAATCTAACTTGCATTTTCCCCACACGCATGATAAGAAACATGCAGGAAACAAAGGTATGTATCACTACCAAATGTGCCATCATAAGACACGAAAATGCCAATAAGCTTTGGTCTTAGGGAAAACATTAAACTGCAGTAAAGGCTCCATCTAAAAAGCAACCAACCAATTCCAGGTGATTTTTGTCTAAAAGAAATGCAGGCCTGTTCTTTTGTTTCAATGAATGCTAAAACTCTGGATTTCATTGGGTAATTTTCCAGTTCTTAAAGTTTGGGACCAATTTTTTTTTGTCTAATGGCATGCAGGATAACTAAAACACAACTGTGGATTGGGTTCTGCCAAGTCTCTTAGTTTTTAATTATTGTCTAGAGAGACACATTAGACAACACAACTCTTTTCTGAGTAAGTCATGTACTATCACATTCTTCTACCTTTGCTCATGCTGCTCCTTTTGCCCTGAATGTTTCTCCTGCCACTTTTTGAACAAATGGAGCTCTTAGTCTTCCTTAAAGTCAACTCAGCTATTACCTGCTCTGTGAAATAAACCCAATTAAACTCTCTCTTTGGATATCTCGCATATACTTCTAACACTGATCACACCCTGTATTCATTTATCTAGTCCCAAGTTAGAGGGTGATTTTCATGAGGCAGAAACCTTATTCATAATATGAGGCAGATACATCACACAGTTATGTGAACATGTTCTTCCCTTCATTTCCCCAACCTACCAGGCAGATCCATGTGGTTCCCAAGGGCCAAGACACACCCAGCAAAACTCTGCTTTACAGTTCTGGTTACGACAGACCATGTGATTACAACCGCCATCCTTCTCAATTGTGACATGGCATTTGGGACATTCCTATGAAGAGAAACTATAAAGTTGGTGTCAATGCTACACTGAGGAGAAGCCAGTTCTAGATATGGTTTATTTTTAAATTAATACTGTGATTTATTGTGATTGATACATGTAAAGCACTTAGAACAGTGTCAACACTTAAGTACTATTGAAAATGAGTTATTATTACAGGTTTTTTAAGATGCATGACAATTTAAGGATTTGTTTTAGTGGGGTTGGGGGACAAAAACATTTTAAGTACTTTTAACCATACACATAGTAAGAACAGTTTTATGAGAGGCTAAACATTTTGTTCCTGTAAACATATTGTTCTAGTGCCATCTGGAAATAATAATTGAATACTTCCTGTATCCCATACACTGTTCTCAGCGTTCTACATGCATTAACTCATAATCCTTATAGTGGTCTTACTCCCATTTCCATTCATCAGATGAATAAACTAAGAGAAAATTTTAAAGAAACTAATCCAAGGTTATACAAGTAGGAAACGGTAGAGTTAGGATTCAAACCCAAGCAATTTGGCCTTAAGAGTCAGGCAAGCAAGACTGATAATTCTCTTTGTGGCTACTGAATTTCCCAACTTTCTTCTGCCAAATACCCTTGTTAACATCTTTTCATTGTGGTTCCTTTGTAACCGTGCTGCAGAGATTACATCCCCCTGCCCAAGTCTGTATCATTTTCTTGGTTGCTAATGAGCCAAAGTCATTACCTGTGGGCACATCTAATTTTTTTCCTCTTGAAAAATTTAGAGAATAAAACTTACTCATTATTTTTAATAAAACTATGAATAAGATGTAAAGCTTGGATTTTTGCTGTATGTTTTTGTGTTGATGTCTATTACTCCCAAAAGGAAGGAAAGTATCACCCAACATAATATTTGTATAATTCAGCTTAAGTGAACAGACTTTACTGTCCATAAACTATAGTAATTCAAAAGAGGTCAATACCATGAGATTTTTGAAGACACTCACATAAAAAATACTACCATCTTCCCAAAGAGGCAAATTTCAGGCCTAAAATATGTTTCATTCTGTATATCTTGGCTATAATTAACTAAATAGTATTGATTTCTTAATATAACAACCACCTGCAAATCTGGTAACAAAATAAGCTTCTGCATGTCTCCATTTCAGAAAAACCCTCAGTTTTATCTCAAAACTTCCAACTAGATAAATCTATTATTACAAATTGCCATTCTTACTTAATAATCTACCCTCTAAACAAAGTCAAGCATATTCAAACCTATACTCCCGATTTTAAATATCTTGGGGATTTAGAGTATGTAGGGATTTTTCCAGATGCAGAAGAGTGTAGTTTATAATCAAACTACTTAGGGAAAATACAACTGCTCTATTCTAAATACTAATCTGACAGCATATTTAAGAATCTAGGACTTTAATGAACATTTCTGGTGGAGAAATCTTCAATTTTTGAAGAAGAATGCTTGAGTAACAGGAAATTTTTAAAAAAATAAAAAAGCAACCATTTTCTGACATTATAGTAAGGTTTTCTTAAGTGCCATAAGGTATGTTTATCATGCTGGTTTCAGAGACATAGAAATGCTAATTTCAAAACTATATTCCCCAAAGATGTGGGTATTTGTTTTATACAACAGGACTGTTTTATTGCCAATGCTTTCTGGGAGACAGAAATGTACACATGTTTTAATCTTTTGGGGTAGAGCAGGTATCAGTGGTACAGAATCATGCGCTGGCGGTCATTTAAGCACTCCTTATTCTTATCATTATCCCATGACTGAGTGATGGAAGACTGCCAAGTTATAACTAACTCTGGTCAAACAACTCAATATTCTTTAAAGCATCATCATCATATGTGAAAGACAACAGTAAAAATAAACAGCCCATGAATAACACTATTATTCACCACTCTTCCTATTCAGATAGGAGGTAAGATTGGATGTTTATACAATTTCCTACAAAAAATTGGCTGGGTACATAGTTTGGATTCAAATGTTTACCACTTAGGGACAGAAAAGAAAGGTGTTCAAGTTTATTTGCATTTGCAAGACATTCCTCTAGGGTTTAAGACGTGGTTTATGTCATAAAGATACTGAACTCTGAAACTAGTATCACGACCAATGAATTCAAAAAATAAACCCCCCAAAACCAAGGATACTCATGTTATCCTTAAGCTTCCATTTTTCAGGAATCAAGTCTTTTAGTAAATCATATTTTGGAAGTTTAACATGTTAAAAACATTCAATTTGTTAAGCCCAGTTCAGTTACATAATAAAGTTACTCATTTACTCTGACTCAATACTGCCCCCTAAAGAATAACTCCTTAAAAGTTAAACCCTGGAGATTTTAAGAGGCAGAAATATAGTCTAGTTTAAAAAAAAAGGGGGGGGGGGCTAGATACAATAAACTCTACATTGGTATACTAGAAGGCAGCCAAGAATTTACATGAAAAGATATTATCGAACCCCAGGGTAGAAAACTGATTAAGCAACCACTACTTTTCTGATGGAAGAAAACTAAAGCAGAGTATTATGCATACTACAGTAGAGTATTCAATAAAACAAACTCAAACAGTAAAACAAAGGATAATCATTAATAGGCAATCTTTCTGAAAACAAAAGGCAAACTTTAATCAACTAAAAGGGAAAACAAGGCCCTTTAGTAGGTAAACTTACTGCTTTTGAAGTTGATACACCTATTCTGATCAGTTTCAAAACCAAGGGTTTACTGAAGGAAGATACCAACCTTTGTGTTGGCTGCAATCCAATTAGAGGTTTCACTGTCATCATCACACTTTTTAATCCACTTCTTCAACCACTGTTTGAAAACAAGAACTGTTACAGCACAACAGAAGACTTAAGGATAGCAAATGACATCAACATAAATATAGTCAAGCTTAAACATAAAAGCCAAAAGACAGGATTATCACTGGATTTACTGCCTTTCCAAGAAATCCTGTGATTCTCATTTATAGTCCACGTACATTTAAAAAAAAAAAATCAACCAAAGGAGGACTTTCTCTGGCTGCAACTAAGTGGGGAACCTAGAGCTCAACAAGAAGCCTAGCTGCAAGGTGTGTCATTCCCCTTAGCTAATTATAAAGCAGTCCAAGGGAAGTGCCATAACCCTCATCATCCTGATAATTAGGAGAAGACTTTATTCCTAAGGAATGTTCCCTGAATATTTGCAAAGATCACACGAAATAAAAAGGACAAAATACCATGTTCCAACTACCAATGAATAAATAACAAAATGTGGGCTGTGACTTAAAGTTATCAAGTCTTAGAAGTACTCTACTACCTTATTTAAAAATGAAAATGCCAGGCACACTCACCTTACATTTAACAGGGTCATGCCAATTTTCTCCACAGTTAAAGCTGTTAAGTGACACAAGAGTTAAAGAATTAAGTCCTACCTACTGTGAGTAAACAAACAAACAACCTCATGCTTTACAGTACCTCAGTACTTTCACCAGTTTCCAGGGACTGGCAAATACAAGGACAGGACCCATGTCTATTTTACTCTGTAGTAATTTATTTAGCACTTAGTACTAGGGCCAGCACATACCAAGCGTCTGTGTGTGAAATGAAGGATAAAGAAGGATTATAATGACGATTACAGGATAAATGACTGACTAGCTACCCAACTGCTGTGTGCTGTGTGCTTAGCTGCTCAGTCATGTCTGACTCTCTGCGACCCCATGGACTAGATAGAGCCCACCAGGCTCCTCTGTCCATGGGGATTCTCCAGGCTAGAATACTGGAGTGGGTTGCCATGCCCTTCTCCAGACCAAACTGTTAAGACAATACAATCAGTTTAGTTAGAGCTGTATTTTTCTGATAGTTTTTAATATGTGTAATTCCTTGCTGCAACCACTGTCTAACTGAACTAAAATGAAATCATGTTCAGTAATCTGAACTTAAATTTCAACCAAGGCTTCACAGGCATTTATTAAATATTTTAACATTCCAGATGAAGAGCTAGTCTGACTTCGTATGTTAATTCCATACTTTAGTACTAATGCACAGTAAGCAGTATGTGGGAAATAGGTCACATATTTTCGCAAGATCCAAACAATGAACCTCAGCCTAGTATAGTGTGCCAAACAAGGTACAAGAGAAAAGATGATGACTACATATTCTCTAAGACTATGTTAACTGCTAATTCCTTTCTGCTTTCTAGGAGCATGGTATATGTATTTGTTTAAAAAGTACAAATTAAGAATAAACACTGCTCTTGTGGCTCAGATGGTAAAGAGTCTGCCTGCAACACTGGAGACCCCGATTCTATCCCTGGATCAGCAAGATCCCCTGGAGAAGGAAATGGCAACCCATTCCAGTATCTTTGTCTTAAAATTCCATGGACAGAGGAGCGAGGCAGGCTAAAGTGCACAGGGTCGCAAAGAATCAGACACGACTGAGCAACTAACACTACTAAGAATGAAAACAAATGCTTGCAAAAAAAAATAACCGTGGAATGGCTAATTAGCTAATCAAGTACTTTGGGAATGCCAAAAATCCTTTGCAAACTAGAAGAATAAAGTGCTCTCAGGTTAAATGAAGCCAGGATAATGGTTACTTCTGGAAAAGAAGACGGGGAATGGAATAGAGAAGGGAACATCAAGAAGCTTCAAATGTATCTTACATGTTTTATTTCTTGACAAAAACAAACTGATTTTGATTAAGGAGGGCTGTAACTTTATAAATATTTAAGTATTGCTGTTATTCTCTATACTAAATCTGTATTTGAAATACTTCATACACAAAATATATTTAAAAGCAGGGAAGGAAATTAGATTCCACACTGTCTACAAAGTAAATTCTGAAATGATAATGTATAACCTTTACCAAAATAGCATGTATTTTACACAAACTCAATCTCTATGAGTTTATCTATTCTTTTGGGAAATATTTAGTATTAATGATGCTAAGACATTCTATTGCTGTTTGGAGGGAAAAAAGAATGATACAGAGCCAATTCCCTACAGGGCCAGTGGTTAGGACTCCATCCTCTCACTGCCAAGGGCCTGGGTTCAAACCCTGGTCAGGGAACTAAGATCCCACAAAATGCATACCCATGACCAAAACAGAAACAAAACAACAAAAAGAGAATGATATGGAAAACCAATAAAATGTGTATTTGCTAGCTATAGAGCCCTTTGGTTTGAACAGCTTCTCATTCCTAAAAGATCCATAAAGGAATGGTCTCTAATGTGTAGTAATGGAAATTCCCTGCTAAGTTGAACCTAGAATTCAAAGGCTATGCTACTCCAAGAATCCAGGTTACCAAGAAAGCTGTGGCCAGAAGCCCCAGAGAAAAACTCTTAGTTAAAAAAGATCTAATCAACAACTAAAAGATTTAATCAACATCTAATCAACCAAGTTTTATCTTTCCAAATTTAGCTACATATTTTTTAGGACCAAGATTAAACTCATATGAACAAAGGAAATTAAAAACACCTAACTCTGTATTTCCTAAGAGATAATCTGAAAACTAATCATGAGGCATAAGGGAACAAAAAACAAAGTGACAAAATAAGCAGTTAATCAGAAATGAGAGCTGAGTTCTTGTCCCAGATCTTTAAGTTTGCTCCTACATATGTGCCAATGGAGGATACAAGAAAAAGTGATTACAGCTGCACTTTCATTCGCATAAGAAAATAAATCCAAAACTTATAGCAACATAGAAACAGGAAAAATTATCTTAAGATATGAGACTTTTAATGCTAAGTTTTATTTAAAAGAAATATATGCTATTTAAAATCAGTTATCACCCACCTACCTGAGGTAAAGAAATTTTTCTATTTCACTACCAAAAATAAATAGAAAAGCTATGTATACTACTTCAATTTAGGAAACCATGTGCTTACCAAAACTGGCGCCCACATTTGCAGCGAACAGGTTTAGCATCAGGATATTGAACTTTAACAACATGGTGGCAGTCTGGGGCAGGACACCACTTTAACAGTCGATTGCACTGAAATACAAGTTAGAAAATTAAAAAATGACAGCAAATTAAATCATGATGCAAGATTTCCCAGTACACCATGCAATTATGTATACTACTTCTTCACTATCATAAAGTGCGGATGGTGTCACAAACATATAAAACCCCGACGCCAATAATCTTTTACAGCAATGCTTTTGGATGTACTGTCTTTCTAAGATTATAGATCACTTGAATACCTGGAATTATAAACTATCTCTTGTTCTATCTTCAAAATCCCACTGAGAAACTTTAAAATAAATGATCACCATTATGTGATCATTAACAAACATCATTTGTGTATGGTTCTATTTCAGGGCAATTTTAAAAGATGCAAAAAAATAAGATAATGCTTCTACTCAGGGAAGGAGTTCATATGCTGTATGAAACAAGCTGAAGAATACACATGGAACTTCTCTCTCTGACCATAAAAAGTTCTTCTAAGAACAAAACCAGTTCCTAAACCACAGCAATGGTTGCATTTTAGTTCTTCAAAAGAAATGTAACTTTTGATACATTTTTATTATGGGACAAAACACTGCTCAAGGAACACTCCACCAGAATTCAAGTTTATTGACCATTTAAAAAAAGGTATTATTCTTAAAAAATGTTATTTTTAGAAGACCTTCAGTTTAACTGCTAATAAAAACTAAAATTACTTTCTAGAAGTGAAATACCAAGTTACACTCAAGCTCTTACACAGGGGCTGGCAAACTTCTTCCACATGGAGCCAGAGAGTAGATATATTTGGCTCCATAGGCCATTCTTTAGCAACTACTCAACTCTGCCACTGCAGCACAAAAGCAGTCACAGAATACACAGGTGTGTTCAAATAAACGTTTATTGACAAAAAGCAGGCAGGCCGTGGTTTGACAATTTCTTTTCTGTTAAGCCATATTTGAAACAACAAACAAAAAACACTACACAATTATTTTTTAACAAAGTTTACTGGTAATGGAAGGAAGGTAAAACAAGCAGAGATACAGCAGGGCTAATGTATCAAACATGATTAAACAGACATCACTAAGAATCAGCTACAGTTCTCTGCTAAGGATAAAGACTATAAAAATAATTTTATCAAAGCTTAAGATCTATGAAAAGACATCTATTTATTGATTTGTCACATTCTTTTGAGAATAAAGGTATTTTGGTATGCTTCATAAAACGACAATAACTGAAGTTATCATAAAGGTGTTTCTTATGTAAGTTAAACTGTATTTCTATTAATAAACAGAATATCTTTTATTTAAAGAATGAAAACTTATGAGAAATCACTTACCTCTACAAAGCTATTTGTTATTAAATGCTGATACTTTAATTTAACTTTTGAATCTGTGATCAGGCGCCTGAAAGTGAGAATAAAAATAGTTTATTAGGAGGTTTTCAGCGAAGGGTATTTTCCACACTCATAAAATGAAATCTCAATGCTCTGGTATGAAAACTGCTTTAAATTTAAAGTACTAAAATATATATAAACTGTCAACATATATAACTATAGGAACCAAAACAATAATTCCAAAGTTTCTATAGTTTTATTTTGGTAGATGTTCCACCCCCTGGTTCTTATACTCTAAATATTCTATTTTTACCCAACTGGTATTTGTGTTGTAGTCTAATAACTTACCAACTACTGACAAATTTAGGCCCCTTTCAGCCTTCTGACTCTCATATCCTGCCTTAAGGCAGCAATTCTCAGCCAGCTTTCCTAAGATCTCCTCCCCTAAAATCAAGTGTGTGAAATAAAAGGATCTTGACAGGAATGTTCAGAAATGGATATAAGTTTTGCACATATAATTCAGATAGCCTCCTTCTTCTGAAATCTTTTGGTAGTTTATTAGAAATGCTTACTAATTGCAACCTGGCTTTCCTTATTCACCTAGAATACTGTAATTCACAAGAATTTCTTGAACTCACAGGAACTCATGAAAGTGAAGAACCCTGAAATTTAATTTTCACTAGTTAAACACTCCTGTGGGTATTATAGGAAAATGGTATTAAAGCAGAGAGAGTAACCACCAAAGAAGCTATTAAGAACAGTATCAGAAAAATGTGAAGTCCAATCTCGTCTTGAGTCTCACCCCACCCCCCTCCCAAAAGCCCCCCGCCCTGTCCTGTGCTCCTCTCACATCTGTGCTCTTTCTTCCTCAGGGCCTCCCCGTGGCTCAGACAGTGAAGAAATGGCCTGCAACACGGGAGACCTCGCTTCAATCCCTGGGTTAGGAAGATCCCATGGAGAAGGGCATGGCAACCCATTTCAGGACTGTAGCCTGCCAGGCTCCTCCGACCATGGGATTTTCCAGGCAAGAATACTGGAGTGGGCTGCCATTTCCTTCTGCAGAGGACCTTCCCAACCCAGGGATCGAATCCACATCTCCTGCTTGACAGGTGGACTTTTACCACTGAGCTACCTGGGAAGCCCAGTTTTCAGTTTACTAATCTGTAAAATGGATAGCAGAAATCGAGCTGGGAGACTAGCATAGTGCCTGGCAAATAGTAAGCACTCAATGAATATTAGATGAAGCTGAATTCATCACCATCATTATTATTTCACTCAGCTAAGATGTACTGTTACTCACTCAAGGGGGCCCTTCCTGACAACTCACCATACCAGTCTAGATGTAGACCACTCCCCTTCAGTTCTCATGGCAAATTATACACTTCTTTTCAGAATGTGTCAAAGTTTTCATCAGACAGCTATCATATAACCATTCTTTAATATCTGCCTCCCTAATTCCCTATTCTCAACCAAACAATAAGCTCCATGAAAGGATCTCTTATGTCCAGTAAACTGCCTGGCCTGTGGAAAGTATTTAGTAAGTACTTTTCAAATGAGTAAACCTCCAGATTTTGCACATGTTGAAACTGAGGGGTAAAAGTAATTAGTGCACAAGGCTGTTCCTCAAAAAGCCAAACACAAAATTACCATATGACTCAATAATTAATTCCACTCCAAGGTATAAACATTCAAGAGAATTAAAAACAGGTGTTCAATAAAAACCTTGCACACAAATCTTCAAATAGTAACAAAGATTTCTACAAAAAATAAAAATAACTCAAATGTCCAAGAACTGATGGAGAAATAAAATATGGAATATCCGTATAATGGAACATTATTTAGCCATAAAAAGGAATGATGTCCTTATACATGCTACAACATGAATGAACTTTGAAAACATTATGTTAAGTCAAGGAAGCCATTCACAAAAGGTCATATACTATATGACGCCATTTAAATGAAACGTCCAGAGTAAGCAAATCCATGCAGACAGCAAAGATGAGTGGTTGTCAGAGTCTAGGGAGAGGAGGGAGTCAAGAGTAACTATTTAGTGGATATGGGATTTCTTTTGGAGGTGATGAAAATGTTCTGGAATTAGATAGTGGTGATGGTTACACAATATCACATAAGTATTCAAAAAGCCACTGAACTGCCTACTTTAGTTAAAAAGGTAAATATTATGTTATGAGAAATTTACATCATTTAAAAAATAATGGGACCTCCCCCATGGTCCAGTGACTAAGACTCTGTGTTTCCAACGCAGACGACATGGGTTTGATCCCTGGTTAGGGAACTAGATTCCACATGCTGCAACTAAGATCCGGCGCAGTAAAATAACTAAATATTTTTTAAAAAAAGAAAAAATAATTAAGGGGCTTCCTTGGTGGTCCAGTGGTTAAGAATCAGCTTTCAACGCAGGGGACACAAGTTCGACAATCCCTGGTAAGGGAACTAAGATCCCACATGCCATGCATCAACTAAGCCTGTGCCACACACAACTATGGAGTCCAAGGGCCACAGAGAAAGATCCATCACTGCAATGAAGATCCCACGTGCCATAACTAAGATGCAGCCAAATAAATAAACATAAAAAGATGTTTAATGTCAGAATATCTAAAGTTGATTTACATTTATTTAACCAGGCATTATAAACAATAATCTTCTAACCACATCTCACTGCCCAAATGCCTCCCTACTCTACACTATCCTCCTTTTACCTACCTAGGTTATTTCTAAAATGCAAATCTCATCAGTCCTAATAACCTTATATGACAAAACTCAAACTGTCAAACTCTTTTCATCCTCATCTCTAGTAATCTGTTACTTTGCGCTTTAGCCATGACAGAATACATAAAAGAGAAGCTCATGGACTATTACCCTCCACACAAAATTTTTAATCCTTGTTATCTCTCCCTAAGATGCCCTAATTCTTCAGGTAATGTGTTTCTACATTAACTGTACTTTATACATACATTTACACATAAAATGGGCTTCCTAGGTAGCAGTGATGGTAAAGAACCTGCCTGCTAATGCAGGAGACACAACAGACAGGGGTTCAATCCCTGGGTCAGGAAGATCCCCTGGAGAAGGGGATGGCAACCTATTCCAGTATTCTTGCCTGGGAAACCTCATGGACAGAGGAGCCTGGGGGGTATAGTCCATAGGGTCATAAAAAGTTGGACACAACTGAAACGATTTGGCAAACATGTATGCATCAACTGTAAACTATGCATTTGTTATTAGGGACCTCCTGGGGAAAGGAAATGTATCTTAATTTGTTCTCCTAGGTACATGTGCTAACAAAACAGGCTCGGAGTAAATGTTTGTGGAATGAATGAAAAGATACAGTGACCTGTACTGAGGAAAGAATACAAAGAATTAAAGTACCAGAGGACAAGATAAAGACAACTGGAAAGATGGTGGTACTTTAAGACCATACATGGTTAATGGAAATAAGATTTACTGAAAGACAGGCCGACAAGAGTAAATGTATTTTAGTAAACCAAAGTAGGCTGGGATTAATAAAGTGGAATCAGTGGCTTTATGAACTGTGCTGGTTAAGTCAATTTATGGCTTCATTAGGTTAAGAATTTGCTCACTAAAACCCATGACTGCTTTTACTCTTATTACTCTCAAATCCCAGCACTTAAATGCAGACATACCCTTCTATACAGGCAATTATCCAGGACTAATTACAAAATCTGTCTGTGGATCATTCAGGCCCTCAATCTATCTATCTTCCTAGACTAAAATCAATTAGGCTGCCTGAGGTTATAAAAACAGCACTGACTCAGGAATTAAACAACTCTGGATTTTATCCCATGTACAGGAGCTAATCATACCTCTTTCTTCAAGTTTCTTTCGCTCCTTCAAAAGGGAACCTTTCACAAGGCCAGTAGTTAGCCAAGAGCCTCCAGCTGCAGTGTCTTTGAGATTCGCAGCAGCGCTCTAGATGAGGCCACACCCCCTGCTTAGCTCCCAGTGAGAGGCTGAGCGCGACACTGGCACCAGGGCCTGGCCATTTCTGCTGACCCAAGTATTCCTCTGTGGGAAATCTATGCACTGGAGTTCCCAACAGGGCTGACAGAGACTCACAGCTGCACACCGTCTTAGTCTCTTCCGACTGAATTCTTCTTCCTTCTTTCTCAACAGGTGTCAGAACTGTATCATGTCTGTCTACTCCTCCTATTCCTATTCATCCTACATAGATGCATCCATAATAAAGCCCCTTCTCTTTTAACTATGTCCTGGCTCTGCTTCTCAGAAGATCAACTGACACACTAACATAACTATTCTCCAACTGCGAGCTTCGCTGAAATCTGGCTGTCACGAATTGCCAACTGAACAAAACACTGACTGGGCATTTAACCAGGCTACCAACAGGCTTGTGTACTACAAAGGAATGCAGGTTACAGAGTCTCTCCAGACTTTAAATGTTCACCTCCGGTGTGGTGTTGAGCAAAAATTAATTTGGCTTAATCAACTAATATATATCCAACATGCAGAATCTATCAAAAGTACTTACATAACTGTGTTGTCATCCACTAAGATATCACAACCATGAGCAGGACACGAAATAGTCTGGAAAAGATCGAGATTTAAACTATGTCTTCATTCAACAAATATTTACTGAATGTTTACCACTGCCAGGAACTTTGCTAGGTTCTGAGGATACCTTAACATTTATAGGACTGTAATCATTTCCTTTCTTTTAAAGGAAACCTGTATGTGAATATTTGCCACCATAAAGCAACTAAAATTGCTAACCCAAACAACTGGTTTTTCAATATTAAACTTAACTGGGAAAGGCAAGAGATATAACAAAAATTCTCAACAAGTTTACCCTGATAAATACAAACGTTAATGCCTGCTGAGAAAACATTACCTGCACTGGATTTTTAACTGGAATATCACATTGTAAATAGAAAAGAAAAAAAATCTCAATTATCTTTTAGTTGTTTTAACCTAGAAAAAAGAGTCACATGTAATTCACAACCCAAAATGCTTTACCTGTTTATATTTGTGTAACAGTCTAAACACTTAAAAGAAATACAACAAAAACTCAAGAACAAGTTGGCATCTTTACCTGTCCCATGCCTTCTTCCATTATTTTGGTAGTTAAATATTCACTCCAGCACTGCATACAAAACTTATGTCCACATTCAAGGCCAGTGAAATACTGCAACAAAAATAATATATGGACTTTCAAAAGAAATTATCAGAAGAATCACTATAGTGACTCAATAAGAACCAATCACATCATGTTTCTCATAGTGGTTAAAATGTCCAACTGAAAGGACTAAATGGGCTCCTAAAACGAATTTCTAAGTAGCAAAATCTATACACACAAATTCATTAAACACAAAACAATGAGAGATGAATCTACATTAGATATTTATAATTTTTAGGAAAGGCACACAAGTTTGTACCAATAAGCATATGAAAAGATGCTCAATATCCTTAATCATGAGGGAAAGGTAAATCAAAGCCACAATGAGACACCACTTCACACCCACTAGGACAATTATAATCAAAAAGACACAATAAAAGTGCTGACAAGGATATGGAGAAATCAGAACCCTCAAACACTTCTAGTGGGAATGTACAGGAATAGTGGAAAACACTGGCAGTTTCTCAAAAAATTAAAAGTTATTACCAAATGATTCAGCAACTCCACTGCTAGGTATATACCCACATAAAAACTTGTACACAAATGTTCACAGCAGAATTAGCCACATTAACTCCAAACTGGAAACAACTCCAACGTCCATCAACTGATAAATAAGCAAAATGTGGAATATCCACATAACAGAAAATTATTCAGCCATAAAAAGCAGTAAAGCACATTCTATAATGTGGACAAACCTTGAAAACATTCTAAGTGAAATAAACCAATCACAAAACACCACATATTGTTTGATTTCACTTGTAGATTTGTGGTTGCCTAAGGCTAACAAGCTTGAGGGGAACAGGAAGTGACTATAAAAAGATATTGGTCTTTGGAGGATTATTAAAATGTTTGAAAATGAATTGTGATGGCTACACAACTCTGTGACTATGCTTAAGACCATTTTAAATAAGCAAGTTGTATGGCATGTGAATTACATCTCAATAAAGCTGTTACTTTATTATTATTTTTTGGCCATACTGCTTGCTTGGTTTTCAGGATCTTAGTTCCCCGACCAGGAATTGAACCAGGACCACGGCAATGAAAGCACCAAGTTTTAACCACTGGACTACCAGGGAGCTCCCAAAGGTGTTATTTCTAAAATGCAACACAGATACCACACTTCATGGAGCTGCACTGGAATATACCTAACCTAGGAAATAAAACCTTATGGAAACCAAAATACTTCTTCAGAATAGTGGTAACACTTGAATAATTAGAATAATAGTAACATTTTGGCCTAATCTTATACTACTTATATGATTTGAAATCCTTTCAATTTGATGTCGGGTTAAATGAACCTTATTATATTCTATAATGGGATATTAAAAGCAGGTACTTTAAGCAGTATTAAGAGTGTACAGGACTACATTTTCAAAAGACAAATATGGTTATCATATTTTACTTTAAAATATTTTACAATATTTACTACCTAATTCTTTTTAAATTAATATAATGCAGGCGATAAAGACAATTATTTGACAATATGAGTTTATGTTAAAAAAAAGTCTCCCTTATCTCCATCTGTTTCTACCTTGTCCTCTACTTCTCTACCCAGAAGTGATCACTATTTCCAATATATGGTAGAAGTACCACAAACTCTCTTCTCTATCTTGGTTTTCTTTATTATTATTATTATCTTTGTGATCAAATGAATGTATATCAGGAAAAATCTGTACAAGTGAAATTCTAACAGTGTACATTTTGATTATTACAAAGAGCTTGTTCAAAGAGGTTGTTGCAATTTACACTACTAAAGAAAGCCTTCTCACACCCATGCCAGAACACTTAAACTCCTTGATCTTTGCCAGTAACAGGTGAAAATGAACTAACTACCAATAGTTTTGATTTTAATTTCTTCTTCTGAGTGAAGCTTATAAGATTTAAGGCTGTGTATTTCTTTTTCTGTGTATTTTCTTCACCTATTTTGCCAAATTTTCCTCTAGACATTTTTTCTAAATATTTTATTGTTTTTGTTTTTTTTTACTTATTTAGAAAACTGACTGTTTTTAAGTGTGGAAAATATTTTCTCCCAGTTTCAATACATTTTGTTGCTGTGCAGAAGCTCTTTGTTCATATATAGCAAAATGTATCAGCTTTAGAATCCATGGCCTCTAAATTAGTTTCTTCTTAACTTAAAAAAAGTTGTGATAGACTTATGGACATGGGGAGAAGGGAGGAGAGGGAGAGATGGATGGGAAGAGTAACATGGAAACTTACATTACCGTATGTAAAATTGACAGCTAACAGGAATCTGTTGTATGGCTTAGGAAACTCCAACAGGGGCTCTGTATCAATCTAGAGGGGTGGGATGGGGCAGGAGATGGGAGGGAGATTCAAATGGAAGGGGATATATGTATATCTGTGGCTGATTCATGTTGAGGTTTGACAGAAAACAACAAAATTCTGTAAAGCAATCATCCTTCAATAAAAAAAATTTAAAAAAAAAGACATACAAAGGAAAAACTAGTTAAAAGATCATTTTGTTTCAATATGTGCAAATCAATTTTTAAACCTGGAAAAAAAAAAATAAAAAGTTGTGCTTTATGAGGGGGCTGGGGGCTGCACTGGGTCTCTGGCGCTGAGCACAGGCATCTCTAGTTGCAGCACATGGACTTTTCAATGTGGTGGCTTCTCTCACTGTGGATCACAGGCTCTAAGGTGCAAGAGCTCCAGTAGTTACGGCTCATAGGCTTAGTTGCCCCGTGGCATGTGGAATCTTCCAGACCAGGGATCAAATCTGTGTCCCCTGAACTGGCAGGCAGATTCTTAACTACTGGACCACCAGAAGAGTCCTAAATTAGTTTTGATATAAGGAGTAAGGTAGAAATCAAGTTTCCAGATGGCTGTCGAGTTGTTCCAACACCATTTATCAAATAACCCTCCTTAAAGGAATGCCGTCTCTGTTGTATATTAAATTCTCCACAAATTCACTTGACTCTGGCTTCTCTGGTGGCTCAGTGATAAAGAATCTGCCTGCCAGTTCAAGAGATCCAAGTTTGATCCCTGGGTCAGGAAGATTCCCTGGAGAAGGACATGGTAACCCACTCCAGTTCTTGACTGGGAAATCCCATGGACAGAGGAGCCTGGCAGGCTACAGGCCATGGGGTGGCAAAGAGTCGGACACGACTGAGCAACTAAACAATACTCGACTCTATTCTGCTTCACTGCACTGCCTGTTCTTGAATTTGGTAAGACTAGCTAGCTTCCTCTCTACCCTCATCAATCTACTCTTTGCTTTATTTCACTAATATTCTATCTTTCCAAATACTTGTCATTCATCTCCCCTTTCTTTCATATATGTCTTTCATATTTCTTGCCAAGTTTATTCTCAGCTCTTTTATTCATTCTGTGGCTCTTATTAAAGTTGCATTTTAAATTCTATAACATTTTCTAATTAGCTGTTACTTGAGATATGCTTACAAAATTCCTGATATTGCTTTTGAGATATAAATGCAAATAAGATACAATATTATAGACACCAACTATATAAAATATACTTGGAAAGTAGCTGGGGAAGAAAATAGTTCAGAGTCCTGATACTGGTTTTACAGACCAAATAACATGGAAAATATCAAGGTTAAAATATGTTACTATTCAGAGAGTGACAATGATTCTACCCAAGTCAAAAATAAGTGAAGATAAATATTTTGGAAATCAATATTCTCATCCAAAAACAAAAGATCTGAGAAATAAAAAGAATCTATTCTTATTACTACTCACAACAGTGAAGGAGTTCTGGCATTAACCCACTGCCAGTTTACTAAAGGAGAGTATTCGATTTTTGATATTATAATGAGGGTGCATTCTATAAAGAACAAATATAATAAAGTCGTATCAGCAATTCTAAAATGTCTTATTCATAACCTAAAACCACAAACACATCCTCACGTGCTTGACTCTTTTTTCAAAGACTGACAGATTAAAGGCCACATGGTTACTCAGTGATCTCTATAGGTAACACCTCTGCTTTTGGGGACTTTTACACCGGGGCTCTTCTAAGATAAGATAAAAAGACAAAAACAAAGGTTTTTTTCCCTTTCCAATAACTTTTTTAATTAAACAGATAACAAGACTAAACAACATAAATTAGAAAAATAAATCACACATACATGTCCAAAGGTAAAGCAAAAAGAGGGAGGCAACTCTCACGATCTTTCATTTTGCTTTTATCTATTTAATATACCTTATTCTTAGAAAGTATAAAATGATTTACTTCATAAAAATGATAGCTCAAGCTATATTTCCTAGTAGAGCTAAATCTTATGCTTTAATTGAAAATAATATTATTATATAAAGTAACTGTTGCCAAGGCTAAGAAATTCCTGAACTGGACACAACCCAAGGGGGCAGGGGGACAGAGGAGGAATCTCTGAACTTAAAAAGAGTGTTCCAAAATCTCAGGAAATTGTTTTTAAGGAAGAGACCGCCCAAAATAGCTCCAAAATATCAATTACATAAACTAAGCTGTCAGAAGCATTTACTTAAAAACCTGTTTTCATGTGGCACTATATAAAGCAAAGTTGCTTTCTAGAAGGATAAACATATTGAAGATAAACAATAATAAAAGGCAAGTTATCAGTGTTTGAAGAGTAGTGGAAATTGATACTTGGGAGTCAGGTAAATAATGTAAGTAAAGAAACCATTCATACAATCAATAAAGCCTAAATGAAAAATCTCAGGTGACATTCACTAGAAAAACTGAAAAGGTTAAAACTATCCTTTATTAGCCCAAAAACTGTGAGAAAAGAAGTCCTAGTTTTACCAAGATTACTTTTCCCTAACACCTGGCACAGTTCCCATAACACTTTTAACTTACCTTCCAACCAGTGCTGCTGTTTACTGTCTTGCTGTCACTTGCAAAGCAAAACTCCCTTTGAAAGACTAGTTTATGTTGATTGCCTCAACGTCCTTTCCCACCTTCAAGTCAATGACTCTTCAGCTCATGTAGTTTGGGTTTCCCATCTTACCATAATACTTAAAATTACTTTTCAGGATCATCAGTCAACTTCTATTGCTAATTCCAAACTCACCTTTCAACTACTTTCTCTGAAGCTAGCACTGTGTCGAGTCTGCTGAATAAATGAAGACTGTTTCCTCCACTATCAGTTGTAAGTATAGCACAATCTACACTGCAAATATCTACTTGATTTTCAATTTAACTTGTTCAGACTGTCAGACAATACCAAGGGCACTGAGAAATTTATAGCAGATATTTGTGAGCAGCTAGCTTCAGTACTTACATTTAAGGTTTATACTAAAGAGGATCTGGCTGTTAAGAGTGCAGGAAGGGAAATGCCAAGGAGTAAGGAAACCTTATATAATCCAGAACAAACTTTTTGAGTCTTAGTATTACCTCATAGAACCATTTATAAACTACATACACTATATAAATGTCAACTGGTAAAGAGAATCTGTTAAAACATAATAAAATGGTCAAAACACAAAACTAATGTATTTTTAATAGCAGTGCTGATTGTTCTTTTTAAATACTTAAGTTAGGATTGTTGATTTAAGTAGAGAAATGAATATAGTTTCAGGCTGACAAGCGATTTGAAACAATCTTATTCAACTTATTTGAAAGGTTAAAAAAAACTGAGACTCAGCCAGATTAAATCATTTATTACCCGAAGCCAAAAAGCTAGTGTTACAGCTGTGACTGAGAATATGGGGTACTTCCCCTGGCACTCCAGAGGTTAAAATTCCGTGTTTCCACTGTAGGGGACAAGGACTTGACCCCCGGTCAGGAAACTAAGATCCTGCACATCACGTGGCAAGGCCAAAAAAATTTTTTTTAATTTGAAAATAAATTAAGAATGACTTGAAAATCTGGAAATTCAATTTAGTATTTTACCTACTAAATTTTTTTGACTGAAAATTTTAAATTTAAATCAACTGATTTATTTTTTAGGCCATACCATGTGGCATATGGAAACTTAGTTCCCTGACCAGGGATCAAACCTGTGCCCCCTGCACTGGGAATGAGGCGTATTAAGCACTGGACCACCAAAGAAATGCTCCTACTAAATTATTTTAACTCTGATTTTCCACTTCTCTAAAACCATGTAATTAACTTTCTTTTAAAACTCTTCTAAGCACTTGTATGTGCAAACAAATTGACTTCCTTCAAATGAGAATGTTTAAAGGTACACATGTCAAATTCTAAGATTAATAACAAAAAACCTTCACTACGTTAAAATACATAATACTGGAGACAAAGACCAGGTATATACTAATTACTAGAAAAAGCTGCTGAACTATTATAGTAGAGAATATGAACAAGATGGTTATAATTGTTGTAGAATTAAATTAGCCTTAGATATTTTAAACATCTTACGAGGTGAATTCTGAGTAACTAAATACATTTTTTTGGCCACAAATGTAATTTTCCTATGGTTACTAATAAAGCGCTTTCATAGGAAGACTGTGTTTATTTAAGCATAACATTTCTTCACTAGATAAGTCAAAGTAAATCATCTAAATACAATAGGTTTTAAGAAGGATACATGTACTAAAGAATCGCTGTTGGAATGGATCTGAATGTGTGAAAATCTTTTGTTAAGAAAAGTCCTGAAAGCTCCCTAGTGAAATAGCATTAAAGACATTTTGTAAGTGTGTTGGATATTCTAAAAACTTAGTTTTAAATCTATTTTAATTTGGATAAAAATAATTCTATTTGCTGCCTACCTATTACACAATTCTCCCATAGAGGTAAAATAAAAAGATTTAGGTGTGTAATGACAACTTGGACAAGTTGCAGCTTTAAAAAGCAAATGAGGATGGGGAGGGGCTGAGAGACAAACTCTCACTCTTCTTTATTCTTAATATATGGACAGGTTACTGCTTTGCTACAATCCCAGACTCCCAGAACTGCCTTTGTTGAAATAATGAAAAGTCAATTTACGCTCCGAAGTAGAGTCAGCAGTGCTGGCCTTAAACTACCAGATACTCACCGAGTTAGGGTAGTTCAAGTAGCAGATCTGACAAGGCATATCCTGTGCTGATGACCTTGTATTCATCTGGCGTGTTCGAGACTTTTTACTTGGATTAATTACATGACACTCAGCAAAGAGCTTCTCCAGGTTTCCATCAAAGTACCTGCATTATTTAAACAGAAAGGATGAGAGCCCTGTAACAGCACATTGTTAGAGCTCTCAAAAACCTGATTTTCTACAGGGAAAAGCAATGAAGTGAATTAAACCAAGACCATATTCTTTCTTGCTCAGAGAAAATGTGTTGTATGGCTACAAACTGTATCAAACAGAAGTATATGTATAGGAAAGCAGATAGAATTTTTGCTATTTCAACATTTTTTACTTTGTTTTTATCCTGAGAAGTTAAGATATTAGTATATTAACAGCACAACAACTAAAATCTAAGAATAAAAGTTGTATTATCTCTAATGGTACCTTATAAAGAGTGTGTTTTAATAGGCTAGGCTATATTTTATACCAATGAATTAATTTTATTAATAATTTTAGTTCTACCAGTTTAAATATACTAGCAAGTAAACTACCCACAAAGCATACTTTATCCCACACATCATTTAAAAATGAAACTATTACATGTGTCTCTTTCCACAAGACTTGCTTTCTAAACATTCTTTGAAAATTATTTTTAATTTATTAGGGTAGGGGAAGAAGGAGGAAACAAAAAAGTATAAATTTAAAAGTTTTTATATCAAATAATCTATATATTGATTTTTTTCATATAAAGTATGTATCTATATATACAGAAGTAGTTCACTAAGCTATCAAAAGCATAATATTGCAAGTACTAGGCTAGAGAGTTTCAACTAAACTGTAAACATCTTGACAGAAGATAGGGGTAAATACTTAGCACAATGTTTCCCATTAACCCAGTTAAGACATCGTCTTTGGTCTCCTGAAATATCTTAATATTCTAAACAGAAAAGCAACAGATTAAAGAAAAAACTTTCAATTTAATCAGCAAAAACGTTAACATGGAATCTGATTAATAGATACTCAAAAGAGTTTCCCAATAGTTTTCATGAAAGTCTTGTTCAGGCATTGTGTCAAAGCATTAACTGCATCTCCAGAACATCACTCATGAGAACCACCATCACTCTCTAAACACAAATAAATATCCTTTTATAAACGCTTTGGCTACAATTATGTTTCAATGAAATGGTCGTGTTATCAATCAAAATGTCAACATATTATTAATATAAAAGTGGAACGCATATGAAGTTGTCTCTGATGATGCAGCTAATCAAAATATACAGAGCAGATAAATCAAATGCTTTTCTACAAAAGTTATCTTTGAAAAACACCTAAGATATGTTTTATCTGAAAAGTTGAAACATATGAAGAAAACACTAAATATGAATAGGTATACCAATTAACCCTTTTATTTAAAAAAGAAAAAATTGTGGTCACAAGAAAACATAAACTCCAGTCATCCAAAACTTGAAAATTAACAACTAATACTTTGGTGAACAGTCTAGATAGCATTCTATGCAAACACAAATAGACATGTACACATTTGATATAATCTCACATCCCAGGCTTATCACCTGCTTTCTTCACTAAATAATATGTAACAACACCTTTGTCCATGAGCATGGAGCTACATTATTTTTCACTGTTGCATAATATTTCTCTGTAGGTATATACTATAATATACTTTACCAACCTTATACTAAAAGATATTTAGAGATGTTCCACATACAGACAATCCTAAATTAAAATCCTGCTCCATCTGATGGGGGAAATATATCTAGACTTGTACTTTTTTATCAGTGAAGCTGAATATATTTTTCTGTGAAGATACTGCTATTCAGTTTATGAGTTCAGCATGTAAATGAAGAGTAATCCTTTGTTTTATGGACTGCTTTCTTCCCAGTTTCTAACTTGCCTTTGAAAATTGTTTAACGGTGTTTAACTGCCACTTTTAATTTTTATGTAGGCAAATTTACCATGCAACACTGTTGTGATTTATGGATTTCATAAACTTTTAAAAATTATCTCTATATGCAAAGACTTTAGAAATTCACTCATGATTTAGGCCTTTCCTTTAAACTGTTTCCATTAAAACTGTTGATTTACGTGGAAATTATTTTTGTGCAGTAAGAAGAAAGCAGGGGTTCCATTTAATTTTAAGCCAAATGCTAGTCACTACTGAAGGGTGTTTCAACTACTGAAACACTTCGTTCTACCTTAAAGGCATCAATTTAAACCTTACCTCCTTAAATCTTCTTTGACAGTTCCTCCTCTTCCAATTAGGTAAGGCTCCCTTGTATTACATCCTCACAGTATTTGTACTCCTGTGTAACAAATCACATTACTAACCCTGTAATCACTATTTATGCTTTTCCTGCGAAAGATAAAGTGAAAGTAGCTCAGATGTGTCCAACTCTTTGTGACCCTGTGAGCTATAGCTCACCAGGCTCCTCTGTCCATGGAATTCTCCAGGCAAGAATACTGGAGTGGATTGCCATTTCTGTAATCACTATTTTATGTTTTCCCTACTAGAATGTAAACCCCATGAGGACTATTTTATTTCTGTAGTAGCCCTAGTATCTATAAGCTCAATTTCTTTTTAGAGAATAAAGAATAACTTCTTAATGATAATTAATAATAAATCTGAATTTCTTTAGGACCATTTCTTAATGATGGCAATATATTATAGTTTATATTTATATTTCTATTATATATATTATATTTAAATTGTTATGTTTATATTTATATTATATTTATGTTATAGTTTATTTGTATTATAGTTTATAGTTTTTGGTCCATTCTAGAAAGCAAATAACTTTCAAATACAGCCCAGGTAAACATAATGGAGAACTGAAAAATCAACTCATATTGCTGGTCATAGCAGGCAGGCCAAGAAATTTTGTTCATTTAATTAAGTTCCATTTTACAGAAATGTAACATTTAAAATTTTTAGTTTTATTCATCACATGCTCTGTCCACCAAAGACTTTGCTATGGTTCTTTGGAAAGACACTGAAGTTAATTTATTTTTATAGACATACCTTAAAATGGGTATTTAAACCAATTTTGCCAACTGTAAATAATATATTGATTGTCCTTACATAATACCCTACACTCTATAGTTTAGGTTGGAACTTCCCAGAACTCTTCCCAGTTGATTACCATTTTACATAATTTTTTCACTAATTACATTGTTTTTACATTATATAGTTTTTCTTTCAAGAACAGTAAAAACTGCTTTCTATTTCCTAAGCCTGACAGCCCTAATTAATTAGACATAATTAAAATGTTGGGTTTTAAAAAATTTATTGGCCTGCCTCGGGCCTTAGTTTTGGCACATGGATCTTTTGTTGTATTGTGCAGGATCTTTCACTGTGGTGCAAGAGGTCAGTAGTTGCAGCACAAGGGCTTAGTTCTCTGTGGCATGTGACCAGGGATCAAATCCATGTTCCCTGCACCGCAAGGTGGATTCTTAACCACTGGACCACCAGGGAAGTCCCTAAAATGTTTAATTGCATTCAAATGCTCATTTTAGCCAAAATCCTACCCATGACAACCTCCATTTCTTCTGGTACCTGTTGTTACTGAAGTCTTCAGTAAAAATAATTCTCATTTTATAATTCAAATCATTTTTCAACTGACATATATTCAACGTTTCCTCATTCTTGAAGTTTACTTCTATAGGGTTGGTCTTAGCATTTAACTTTCTCTTCCGAAATGCCCATTTAGGTAGTAATTATATCAAGAGCTTTTAGCTATTAAGACCTGCTGGACTGACCCAATCTTTGTTCATTTGTCCTCCTTACCTACCATCTACTAATTCCTTCTTTGTCCTTCTCTTCTCTTACATGTCTCCATTTTCCATAGTACCTGCTCTATTTCTGGCTATTGCCAACATGCTTTCAATACATTATTGACCAGGGGATTTTTGCAGAAACACCTGTGGCCCGCAAGTTGTTATGCAAGTGAATACTTGAAAGGTCTCCCGTCAGTAATGTAACAAAAAACATATTAATATGTCTCTGGTCAATAATGAGTTAACTTCTGCAAGATTACTGCTTGTCCCTTTTTTTTTCCCCCTTAGTTCCGTCAGCTTCCTTTTCATCTTGTTGTTATTTCAGCAGTTTATCTTTGATCCCTTATCTCAAAGTCTATTGCTTACTTTAATCTTCTTAAAAGAACAAAGAAGCTTTTTTTCAACCTGCTAATTATGACAGTTTTATAAGGACTACTGTGCTCAAGAATATACTGGATTCTTAACTTCTCAGACTTTGTATACCTGGGTCACTACATATTTGAAAGTTCCTTCAGTTTGCTGGCTTTTACGTACATCCTTGCTGGTCAAAACAGACCAAGATGAAGAGAGACTAATTCAATGTAAGGCAATTTAGTTCAAGTACCTTGCTTAATGAGTTAACACACACGTTCCTCTCTGCTTCACTGACTCCAGTACACAACTGCAAAGATTACGTAGAACAATACTATCTTCTTTTCCTGCAAAATCTGACTATCCTTTTGAGAAAATCATACTGATGAAAAGAAGAACAGAATGGCAGTGTTGCTCTTTTCCTTCAGTTGGGACTTTCTTTGGTGGGGCAAGGGCATAATGATTTCAGTATCCCCACTCCATCTCTCACAAAGCCTAGATTTTTCCAGATTAAGATTGTTAGAAGGGCTGGGGATTCCCTGATGGTCTAGGGGTTAGGACGTCATGTTCTCAATGCTGGAACATCATTAGATCCCTGGTTGGGAAACTAGGATTCTGCAAGCTGTGCAATGCAGCAAAAAAAGTTAGAAGAGGAACATGAGAGGGTCTTCAGAAGGGATTATATACCCTCACCCTACAGTTCTTTCTGTTCATTCAGTATGTGTGCAGTGTGTGGGATCTGAGTGCCCCAACCAGGCATCAAACCTGTGCCCTCTGCACTGAAGCGTGGATTCTTAGCCACGACCACCAGGGAAATCATTCAGTATGTTTTCAGAAATATAGTTAAGCAAACTGGCACTTAATCAGCCAACTCTCCAGAATATTTAGATCTAAATTTTTCATTTTCCTTGAATATGAGAAATACATCAAGTAATATGAATTAAATTTCAAGGCTGTTATTTCAACAATAACAGCTTAAAAACTAAGTCT